CCCTCCCGTGCTTCTGACTGTACCCAGTGCTTGTATAAATAAATAAATCTTAAAAATATATATATAAAACTTATTAAAAATAAAAATAAGCATACCTTTTCTATATGATGCAATTATTTTCAATAATAATTCAGTGAAATGAGTGAAAATAAATGACCAGAGAGGGAATGCAGTGTGAACACTCTGTTTTATTCTAATATATATATAATTTTATATAATTATACCAGAGAGATAAATAAATAGTAAAAGAAACATTAGATATAATGAAAGGAAAAAAGTGATGGATTGATACTTCTTCATTACATTAACACACATATAGGCACATGCATATATGTACACATACACATAGACATAAACACACAATGGCATATTAGTCATGAGAAAGAAGGAAATATCTGCCATGTGCAACAATGTGGATGGACCTTCAGGGCATTGTGCTAACTGAAATATATCCTACGAAGACAAATACTGAGTGTCATCACTCACATATGGAATCTAGTTTTGTTTTTCCTTAACCACAAAACAGTTTTATAATTTTTAAGGTAACATTTGTTTACCTGTATATTATTCAGAAATAGAAGATCCCACCTCTTCAGACACATTTTACCATACCACACCCCATATGTGGAATATAAACTTTAAAAGTCAAGCTCATAGAAACAGAGTACAAAAGTGGTTGCCAGGATTTAGCGGAAATAGGGAGAGGTTGATAAAGGAGTAAAAACTTTTAACTATAAGATGAATGTGACCTGACATCTGTGTAAAGCACACTGACTAGAGTTGATAACACTGCATTGTATAATTGAAATCTGCTAATAGGGTAGAACTTGAATGTTCTCAACAGAAAAAGAGAGGTGATGGGTGTCTTAATTCACTAGATGGTGGGAAGCTTACATTTCTATCAAATCAGCACACTACACGGTTACAAAACCTTACAATTTTGCTTGTCAATTATATCTCAATAAAGTTGGAAAAAATAGTTGACCTTCTAGAGCAATGAAATCACCTATTGAAGACTGAGTTAGAACCCCAGCTAGGAGAAAACACTCTGTAAGCTTGGGAAACTGTCTTGCAGGATGTGTTGTACAGTCGGAACCAGGACTAGAAATCAACACAAGGTGCTGTTTCTCCCGTAACCAGAATGCGTGGGGTTAAGAAGTAACAGGTGCTGGTGAGGATGCTGCCTCCCTTGAGAATCAAGAACCAAAGTGGAAAGTGGGATTTTAACTTAACCTCTGCAAAATTTTTACAGTTTACTTCTCATTCCCACAACTCTGATTTCTCTATTTGAGACGCTTATTATCCAAGAGAGGAATATTTTTCAGGAAACACAGCAATGCTCCCATTGAATTAGAAACTGAGACTGCCATCTCATGCCAATAAGCAAACCAGCAAAAGGAAAAAAATACGAAGGAAGGGAGGGAGGGAGGGAGGGGGGAAGGAGGAAGAGCTGCCCACTATATTGGCTACGGTGATTCATCCTGATCATAATTAATTGTCATATATTAGTACATCCTAGGCATGAACTACAGTTTGTTTCCACTGCCCACCAACATTCCTTTATGTTGGTTTCACTATTACAATGAATGTGTTGGTACGCGTCTCCTGGTACACATGGGAGGCAGGATAAAAACATAAAACTGGAATTTCTGGGTCAGTATCCACATTACACTTTACACTTTACATGCTGTGGGTCAAATTGTTCTCCAAAGTGGCTGCACCCATTTGCATTCCATCAGCAGTGCTTGACTTCCTGTTTCTGTACATTCTTGTGAATATGTAATAATTATTGCCAATTTGATGAGCATAAAATGATATCTTGTTTAATTTGCAGTCCCCTAAGTGAGGCTAACAATTTTATCACGTCTATTTGTAGTGATATTTAAAAAGTGTCAATTCTCAATTTTCCATGAAACAGCGGTTACATTCTGCCCGATGGCATATACCATGTCCCGGAGCAGCTCTTGTACTCATGCTCATGCAAGAGATTTTCCTCCTTAATTAGGTCTGGCTTGGCTACTATAAAATATGGCTCCTTTGAGAATATAGGATAAAGAGGAAAGCAGAATTTTAAATCTACATTTGATAATATACAAAATGAATACTTCACATGACTTTTTGCAACAAACAAACAAACAAAAAACTTGAATTAGCGTTGTATAAAACAGAGGTACTCCGATGTAATCTTTGGGATTTTGACCCTGTTAGGGGAGAGAAACTTCTCTTCTTCCCTAAGTTCTTTCGGTTGTTTTAATCATTAAATTGATACAAGACAGATGAACAGGAGGAAAAAAAAGCAAATTTAAATTCATACATAGGGAGATCACATAGATATGGGACATGCACAATGACCAAAGCAATCAGTTTATATCTTTTAGACAAAGAAACAATAATTCATGAACAAGTGACAAAACCAAGAAACTCTGGTTTCCCTACTAATAGGAAAAACTAAGCAGGGTTTGTTTCAAGTCTCCTCTGCCCTGAATTTCCTGCCTCTGGTGATAAGGATGCCTCTCTATCTCCTGATGTATGGAGGAACATTTCACATTGAGATTTATTTTCTGCTTGTAAGGACACTAAGGAGGGTCAGAGTGTTCTTTTTGCAACAGCTGTTCCTTAAAGTGACTTTAATTCAAAATAATCAGCATGCTACTTTGGCAGATTTGGGGGCGACCTGCCCAAAGCCCCAATATCCCCCTGAGTTCTTGCTAGCAATTTGGATTTCTAACAGTACAATGTATTGTTGTAGAATTGCTGTGCCTTGCCTGTTTATAGCAACCACAAATGCTACCGTCAAGTAGAAGTCACAGCATGCCAGAGCTGGAAGGAATTGTGACAATTCCCATACTTCCACAGCCTGTAATTTGAAGAAGGGGCAACTTAGGCTCAGGGAGCAAAATCTGGGAAGTGTTCCTGAGCTGAGTTCCTAACCCAAGTGTTCGAGTTCATATCCTCGAGCCCTTGGGATGGCTGTGTGGTGCCTGATTATACGATAATTTGCCGTGTGTGCCATGACGAGAACAGCACTGCTGTTGCAATTGTTTGTGGATTTCTCACGTCCCTGCATATCTTGGGAGAGCTCTTGTCCCTTGTCTCTGACCCAGTGGTAGTCTTATATCTTCTCTGGTTTCTGTGAAACTGCGGCAGGCTACCTTGTTACTTGCAAGTAGAGGAAAAGTAGTTTTGGAAAAGCTGAGGCAAAAACAAAATTGAAAAAGAGAAAAGGAGGGCCTCCCTGCTGGCGCAAGGGGTTAAGTCTCAGCACAATGAAGGTATCAGCAGCCACTGCAACATGGGTTTGATCCCTGGCCAGGGAGCTAATCCACATGGTGCAGCAGACTTTTCCTGTCTCACCCTCTGCTCCCCTCAGCAGTGGATCTGCCTGTTCCACTCCCTGCTCTGTGCTCTGTTTCTGGTGAATCCTCTATCACACACCCTCCCCCCTCCACACACACACACCTCTGGCCTATACCCCAGTTCTTGGGTGCATAAATAAAATAAATATTAAAAAAAAAGAAAAGGAAAGAAAAAAGCAAGATGTTTTCCTGTCAGATCCTTTAATGAACTAAAGAGCCTGGAGTGGGGTGGAGTGTGCTAAATTCCAAGAGGTATTTGCATTGAAAACCTTTTCCCACCCCTTCCTCCTGTGTAATACCTATTGGAAAGAATAATAAAATGAGTAGAAAACCCTTTGGAAAGCCGGAGTAAGATGTAGCATGAATCGGGATGGAAATGCAGTTGAGAGGGATCGTGTCATATTCTGTGAAAACTAGAATGAGGGTATGCTGAGAGGTATGCCAACATCACCTACAAGGTCCTCTGAAGACGAGCCGAAAGCAAGTTACAGGGTCAGGCTTTAGAGCCAGCAGGTTGCTTAGAGACAATGCTAACCCATTTTACCAATGGCGCTCTGAGTCCAGCAAGAGGAAAGCACTAAGGGCCAGCCTATTTTTTGGCCACATATAATGGGAATAAAATCTAAGCATTCTCAGTCAGTCCTTAGTGTTCCTCACACAGTCTTTGTTCTTCATGTTATAGTATTGTTTTGTTTATAAGTCAATCTTAAGGTCTGTGAAGGCAAATACCACTTTGTTCCATTTGAAAGCTCCTACTTAGCTGTAACTACCTATTGCATAGGTGTGTTAATATTCGCTACAGTCACTGTTCAAGCACTGCCCAACACAACTTTCAGCCTTGATGGAAATCCTCTATGTTCACATTGACCAATGTATGCCATGAATATGTATGGCTACTTTGGCTACTGAGCACTTTATAGTGGCTGCTGTGTCTGAGGTACTGATTTCTTAATTCAGTTTAATTTTTATGAATTAGTATTTGCATTGAAACAGCCATATTTGGGCCTCCCCTGGTGGCACAGGTGGTTGAGATTTGTGCTGTGCAGCTGCCCGCAGTCTCTGCAGCACTGGTTCGATCCCTGGCCGCCGGGGTTGGTTCCACATGGTGCAGAAGCCCTCTCCTCTCTTGCGTGCTGCTCCCCTCAGCAGTGCATTTCAGTCAGTTTGCCTGTTGTGCTCCCCACTGTGTGTCTGGTGAATCCTCTCACCCTCACATCTCTGGCCTACACCCCAGTTCTTCTATGCATAAAAAAATAAATAAATCTTTTTTTACAAAAGAAAGAAATAGCCTTATTTGTGTAGTGGCTAGTGGAATGAGCACACAGAGGAGTCATTTCCGTCCTTATTCATACTACATTTTACTCTGTGGCTAAAGAGAGTGTCATAGGTGTGGATCTGAGCAGGAATTAGCACCTCAGGCGGAGATGGAAATCATGCGAGGCCTTCTGGTAGGAGGTGGCCCCATTCTCAAGCTCCTTTCACTCATCCAAAGACATGTAACCACCACTAGAAAGGCCAGGCCAGGCGTGGGGGGATTGGGGGGGGGGGGCGCAGGACACGCAGGTTACTGTTAGAAGAGGGCGGGGCCAGCACCAGCTGTCACGTGCCACTGAGGCCACTTCCGACAGCTTCGCCGCCCGGAGGCTTCTGGGATACTGCGCCAACGGACGTTGTGGCCGCGCGTCAGTGAGGAGGGAAGCTAGGGCCATGCCTTCTGAGGCAAGGCCTGTGCGGGGGAGAACCCGGCAGTTAGCCAGGGTGTTGCGGGGTGCGCGATCTAGGCAGATAAATAATGAGATGAGGAGCAAAGCGGAAAATCCGGCCATCGGTTCGCACCCAGGAGGCGGCCTCCGCGGGCGCCAGATCTTAATAGCTGCCATGCCTCTGCCTTACTGGCAGGCGTCGATGCGCGGCCACCAGGCTGAGAGGAAGAACTATCTGGCGACAATATGGGCCCACAAGCGCTTCATGCTGCTCGTGGGCCTCATCTGGGTCCTTCTACTGCTTTGCAGCTTCCTGATTGTTGGTGAGTGCCACCTCAGGGTCTCCGGGAGAGCAGGCCGTGGGAGGGCAGGCCGCGGGAGGGGAGGTCTCCAGGCGGGCAGCAGATCGCTGGGAGAGAGGCCTCAGGGAGGGGAGGGGAGGTCTGGGGGAGGCGAGACCACAGGGAGGCCGTGGCAGGGGAAGTCTGAGGGAGGGCAAACCAAATGGGGGTTGAGAGAAGGGCAGGTCTTGGGGACAGGCGGTGGGGGGTGGGCACAGGGAGACCAGGCCGCAGGGAGGCCACAAAGCCCTCAGGACGGTAGCAGGTTGTGGGGAAGGCAGGCCACCTCCGGGAGGTGTGGTGAGAGGGCAGGGTTAGTTGCTGGGAAGGCAGGTCTCGGGGAGGGAAGCAGCGGCCCGAGGATTGGGCCGAGCGTCCTTGGACCCATTTTTTACTAGACTGGGTTCTTTATACCGTCTGCATATACGATTTGTAAATATTCTCTCTCATTCCCTAAGTTGTCTTTTTACTCTCTTGATAACATTTTATGATGGATAATTTTTTTTTTTTAGTTTTCAGGAAGTCCAGTTTATTTGTTTGGTTTTTCTTGTCTCACTTCTGCCTCTGGTGTCATATCTAAGAATCCCTTTACAAATTTAAAGTCATGATGATTTATTTCGTTGTTTGCTTTTAAGAGTTTTATAATTTCAGTCCTTATATTTACATTGATCCATTTTAACTGAAGTTTTGCACATGGCTGTGTTCGCGATCCAACTTCATTCTCCGCCATCTGTATGTCCCACCTCTCCCTCCCAAATGTTTTTATAGTTTACTTTTTATGAAAAACTTTTTGTTTGTTCTTTATTATTTATTTACCAACATTTTTGAAATTTATTTTACTTTAATTTTTTGTTTTATTTTCCTTTTTATCTTTTATTTTTGTTTTCTTTTATTTAGTTATTTATTTTTAATTGTTCAATTTATACTTTGTCTGCTTTCTCTTTTTATTGATATTCCCCCCCAAAAAAAATGTTTTGCTATTTTTACGTTATCCCATTTGAGACTCAAAAGGGCGAAAGAGTCTAAAATGCATCTGAATAATTTCTGCTTGGTGGGATTTACTTGCCACTGAAAAATTCTAATCATTCAACATTTAACACCTACTTTACTCCTGGCACTATATGATGAGTTGGATTTACATATATCAAGATATGGTTCTGTCTTTAAAAATAAATGTAATGCAGATATAAGCACAAAGTAAATACATTGCAAAATAATTGGCCTAACTGCCAGCTAATGAAAATATTCAAAATAAAATAACGTAGAATAATGTCCAGGAAGTGAAAGTCAGCCTTGGTTTAACTAAGTATATTTTTGTAAACAGTCTTTGCAAAGTCAAGTGTGAGTGGAAGTTTTGTGCAGTGGAAACAGAAACTGGGGTCCTAGGTTCTACTTAGGACTGTTTCACAAAGATACCACTGAGCTGTCTTTAAGGATCACATTTGCTTGGCATATTAGTGAGAGGCATTTTGGTCAGGAGAACAATGTTTAAAGCAGGAAGGAGACCGTGTTTTAAGGAAGAACAAGGCATGTTCAGTGATCTACTACTTGTTTCGTTGCAGTTTAACAATGTGATATGTTCTGAGAAGTGCGAATGTCATCACATGTGTTTACACAAATCTAGAAGGCATAGCCTACTGCCTATGTGGACAGTCACGGAGATCACTTTTGTATGTGTGGGCCATTGTTGCTGAGATGCCATGTGGCGCATGACTGTATTGTTTTTCAATCAATGAACCTGGGTTATCTTTCCATTTGTTTATATCTTCATTTTAGCAATGTTTTATAGTTTTCAGGGTGCGAGTCTTTTGTTTCCTTGGTTAATTTGTTCCTAGTTTATTCTTTTGGATGCGATAGTAAATGAAATTGTTCTATGAATTTTGTCTTAAGCCCCAATCTAAAAGACTGGGTGGATCATTTGCCCTCTAGGGAAAGAATTCACCAGAGAGCGTTAGGTGTAGTTGAACCAGGTAAAGCTTTATTAGAGACTTACGCATGTGGGAACCAGTGCTGGAAAGGAGAATTCAGCCTAGTTCCCTGAAGGGAATTAGAAGGAGATACTAAAAATGTTAGGTCTGAAAGGTGGGGTGGAAGAAAGCAGCATGTTAGCTTTTTGTAAGTTGGGCTATGCCCAGGCATGTGCTGGCAGGTTATACTCTGACTACACATGTAGACTCTTGACCTTCTCCCTCCAGGAGATTGTGACACAATCACTAATCAGGATCTAATGCTTATGGTAATGCATGGTCCCTCATGGGCAGTGTGGTGGGTCAGGTTGTTTGGACAGGGCTCTCCAGCCCATCATGTAGTCTACCTGTTCAAACAGGGCTTGAGGCAACTCATTGTACCAGCTAGCAATTTCTTGTACCTAGGCGGTCTCAATTTTAGTTTTGGATTGTTCATTGCTGATGTTTTTATATATTGATCTTACAATTTTGCTAAATTTGTTTATTAGCTCTAGTAGCTTTGCTTGTGGATTTTTTTTTGGGTGGGGGAATATAATATGTATAGAATCATGCTGTCTTTGAAAAGAGATAGTCTTCCTTCTTCCTTTCCAAGTTGAATCCCTTTTATTTTGTTTTATGGCCCAATTGTTCTGGCTAGAGCTTCCGGTACAATCTTGTTGAATAGCAGTGGTAAAAGTGGACATCCTTGTCAACTTCCTGATCTTAGGAGGAAAGCTTTTCATTTTTCACTTTTCATTTTTCACTATGATTTTAGCTGTTGGTTTTTCATAAATGCTCTTTATCATGTTGAGGGAAATCCTTTCTATTCATAGCTTACTGCATGTCTTTATCATGAAAGCTTTGAATTTTGTCAACTGCTTTTTCTGCATCAAGTTTCCCTCTCCCCCCCTTTCATTTTATTGATGTGGTGTTTTACATTGATTTTTTTTTTTTTTATGTTGAACCACCGTTGTATTCCTGGAATAAACCCCACTTGGTCATTGCATATACTCCATTTAATATGCTGTTGCATTTCAACCGCCAGTATTTTGTTGAGACATTTTGCATCTGGGTTCATATGTGATGTTGGCCTGATGTTTTCTTTTCTTGTGGTGTCTTTGGCTTTGGTATCAGGTTAATACTGGCCTCATAGAATGAGTTAAGAAGTGTTCCCTCTTCTACTTTTACAGGAGTTTGCGAAGTACTGATGTAAATTCTAATGTAAATTAAATTACTAATGCAAATTCTGCAAATAGTTGGTAGAAATCACCAATGAAGCCATCTGCTCCTGAACTTGTCTATGTTGGGAAGTTTTTGATTAATGTTTTAGTCTCTTTAGTTGTTATAGGTCTTTTCTGAAAGGCCGTCCTTCCCTCACCTTCTTTCACAAAATACTAAATACCCTCATTCTCTCTACTCGCATGTTTTCCTTCCGTTGCCTCCCAAAGGTACTCTCTCCTTCTTCTCCCAGGTTTCTTTTCCTCTTTCTACTCCATGGTCTTACTGTCTCACTTTGCTTACTCAGTCTTTTCTGCCTCCTACTCCAAATCATTCTTATCCCCCACTCAAATACTTTTCCTTTCCCCACAGCCTTTTCTCCTTAGTTCCATGATGGTCTTTTGGAAAGGGTCTTCTAGAGACCCTTCTAGAGAAGACCCTTACCTCTCATGGCTTACTCTTCCCCCCAACCACTGGTCTTCTGTCTTTTCTTTGGCACAAAAGTCTCCCATTTCTGTAGTCTTCCCCCTCCCTTAAGCACCAGCCTTGAGCCTAAATACCTTCCACCACGCCTACCTCTAATCTCAATGACTTCTGTCTTCCTGCCCTTTCCATGGGCCTTCCATGCCCACGACCAAGATCCTCCCACAATCAAGGAGGGAAGAGACAAAGATTGGGCAGAGGTATTGTGAGTAAAAGTAATAGAGCCCTCCAGATGCTATCTCAAAACTGAATAGATTTATAACTTTTTGTGAAGGACAGAATGCAAAGTTAATATACTGTACATTCTTTATATTAATTAATTTAAATGAATTAGAAAAATGTGATTTCTTTTTTTTAAAGATTTATTTGTTTGTTTGTTTGTTTGTTTGTTTATTTATTTATTTATATAAGCACTGGGTACAGTCAGAAGTGGGGGAGCGTGAGAGAATTCACCAGAGCCAGAGCGAGCAGGGAACAAAACAGGTAGAATGACAAAGAAATACACTGCTGAGGGAAGCAGCAGGCGCGGCAGGAGAGGTCTGTCGCACCATGTGGGACCCTCACCAGCGGCCGGGATCGAACCAGTGCTGCAGAGGCTGCAGGCAGCTTCGCAGCCCAGCACTTAACCACTGCACCACCAGGGGAGGCCCTAGAAAAATGTGATTTCTGCTGCTTGAAAAATATTAAGACAAATGTGAGTGATCATTTACAAATCATATTACTCCAAGTTATTCATATTTGCTTTCCCTGCTATTCATTTAAAATACCAAAATAGTTCTGAATTACTTTTACTGTATTTGTAAACATTGGTTACAAATACAACTGAGAACCTTACAAACTGAGAGCTTTTTCATTCTCTGAAAAAGCAAGTTATAAAACAAAACTATAAATTGTACAGTATTATTTCTTAGTCTGTGAGTTCTTCATTTTCTATTTCTATTTTGAGTAGAGATCTTACAAAAAAGAATACTGTTATTCAGTGTGATTTCTTTATTTCCATGAGGACTTTTTCCAATATAGGTTTAACATGTTTTCTCCTAAAATAATCTATGATTCATTCTTTATATTGTCAGATTTCCCAGATTCTCAGGAGATAATATGTGACTGGATGAATTAAATATCATTTTGCATTTTAAATGAGTTTACTTAATTAGTGTAACTAAATGCACTGTGCCGTGGGTTGAACTGTGTCTTCCCCTCCCAAAAAAGTTGGAATTTTAATTAATCCCAGTGCCTCAGGATGTGATATTATTTGGAGATTTGGTCTTTATAGAGATAGTAGGTATAATGAAGTCTTCTAGAGTGGGTCCTAACCCAAGGCGACTGGTGTCCTTA